ATGCATTTAGCAGCTTATTTGTAGCTATTTAGAAAACTTGTCTTACCTGTAGTTCAATCATACAACAAAAATAAACAAGAAATTATAGATATATTGCTCCCTAAATCTTTAAAGTCATCTACATAATTGCCTAGAGTGATGTAACTTAAAGCCACCGAAGCCCATCACGCCTTCGAAGCTAGCAGATAATGTTCACATCCACCTCTGCAGTTCATTGACGACCTCAGAAGTGCTGAACTAGCACTGGAGGGCTGCCTGGCAGAGACTTTGTGGGAGAGAACCCTGTGATCTGCCTGCCTCAAATGTAGTTTTATTTTTGCCATACTAGAATACGTCTTAGCATAGTAATGACAAAGGTGTAATGTATCCCTTGACTCCAGTAATGACTGATATAATTCTCTTCTGTAGACTAACTTACTTTAACCTGCCTACGTATTATTAAAATGCCAGCCACCAGGGCATCAAAGCAAATAATGGGCATTAAGTACTAGTGAAATAACTGCACGAGAAACAAATGAAGGAATATTTGGTGCTGCTACTCCACTTAGGACCCAAAACTGCTGTGTTTTTGGGTTTCCTTATTCTGCATTTGACCTATCTACTTAAGTTGTTTTGTTTAACTAGTATGGAGTTAGGTTGGCTGTATTTTTAAGGAAAGTGCTGGTTTATTTTTATTTACCATTGATAATTACACTTGCGAAAATAATGATAATCTAATCTCATCTTCCCAGTGATGAGCAGGCCTCTATGGTGATCAGGAAGAACATTTTCTGCTCTCACAGGGCACTGGGGAACACATGTTGTGTGTCCCTGAAATCTGTCTTTCCCCCCGTTTTCTGTGGAGCAAGGAGATTTAAATTCTTGTCCTCTAACAAGCCCAAACTCAACAAAGTCTGTCAGAGCCTTCTTTATTGCTCTTAATGTTATGAGGCAGGCATTCCAATGCTTGTCCATGGGCAACAATACCAGACAGGTAATTTCTTTTTCTTAATTTAAGGCAAGGCTCCAGCTTGATGGACTTACAGCCTTATCAAACCCCCTTTCCTTTATACAGGTTTAAAAAAGTGACTAGCAACCTTTAAAGGAGCCCAATTGCGAGAACCACCTAAAAATTAATAACCTTCAATACGTAGTACATTAACCCTTAAATCTTCATGCAGCTTAAAAATATCTACAGAAACACTAGATTTCCCATGTACAATGTGCCAAATACCTTCAGGGACGTTTTCTGGTGGGGAGTCAAGATAAAATTGTGTTTATCAATCTTCAGAACACTTTCAATTCATTATGGAAAAGGGCAGCTTATTCCAAAAGATTTCTAAATCTCAGAGTAAAATATTGCCAGCCTTGGAAATAATTCCGAGCGGCAGACTGCTTTTACAGGCTCTTTATCCTTGGTTGCAGATCCTACCCACAGCATTATCAGGCCAGTATAATTTCAGTGCCCTACTGACATTTGCAAGACAATTATTAGATAGAGAGACAGGCAGCAGTCAATTTTTCCCAAAGTCTTCCGGAACCTGTTATTTGGTCACATCAGTTGTTATCTTTTGCGCAGCACAAAGTTCAACAGCTTTGGTCTGAAGGTCAGCCCGATTTTTTTCTTGCTTGTCTGGATACCGCACAACCGTGAGCTCTCACAGCACGACGGCAGCCTCCTTTGGGAGCTCTGTGGCACTCAGCACTCAGACACCGTGCAATGACCATAAAGATGCCATCACAAGCAAACATTCAGTAACGAGTTCTCTTCAGTAAGGCCCCATTTGCTGTTTGCTAGAGAGGAATCATTAGGGACGCTGCAGAAAGTTTGTATTTCTTGGGTCTTACCTTGACATCTGGTGAGTTGCTCCATCCTCCCTTTCAAAGCAGTCACTTCCCTCACAAGGACTGTATGAAGAGGAGTAGAAAGACCTTCCCTAAGAAGAGTTCGGGCATATTTTTAAGCTGAAGTTGTAATATAATCACATGATTCCAGGAACTGACACTTTAAAAACAAAAACCAAATATGAAATAACAAAAGACTGGAAATGAAAGTGTTACAGTTCTGGTTTGTTGCATTACAGTTGAAGAGCAAGTTTTCTTTATCAAATTTCTTTGGCTTTAATTGCAGCCATGGTAGTTTAAGTTTCAATTTCTGTTACATCTAGAGTCCCAGACAGGCTTGTATAGAGCCCTTTTTGTTTGATCACCACAACCAACACTAGTTCAGGTAGCTCGGTACATGCTGTAATGACTTCTGCTTTGATCTAAAGCAATCTATGACATAAATATTTACCTCTTCATGACCTTTAGCACTTAAGCAAGGTATAAGTTCATGTCTTCAAAACATTCTTGGAACATTACCTCCTTAACTGTCAAGAACACAAAGAAAAGTTATAGGGTTCTTGCCCAAACCGGCATCAGTGTATAAACAGCAGAAACGCAGCAATGTTTCAGGCAGAAAAAGCATGAATTCATCCAGGAGACTGCGCACACGGTAGTACGTTTTGTTCTCCTTGGGCAGCACAATTCCCAATAATTGCAAAGAAAATCTGTAATCCGAGTCTGATGCCAGTTCCAAACATCCCCCAAACCAATGCTAAAATTATTTTGAAATCAGGAAATGAAAAAAGGGAGTTTGTTTCATTTTACCTTCCCTTTCAGCAGTTACAAAGTTGCTTTTCTCAGAGTGTGGGGGGAAGTTGCATTGATGAAGATTATAAATGGAATTAAAAACCGAACAGCTATTCTCCAATATTCATATGACCCCAGCAGCTGGGAGTTTAAGGAAAAAACATAAAAAGACAGTAAGTATTCCTGCTTGACATTTCCTTCCCTGGTTTTGCTAGTATCAGGTTGGCAGATACATAACTGCCCTCTTAAAAACCGAACCAGAATTATACAACTGTCTTTAATGGACCTTATAGTAAAAACATTACCATCCTCATCTTTTAGGAGCATGGGAATGCCATTATACTTTTGATGCTTATTGAAATGTATTCTACTGCTGATCCGGAGCCCACAGGAATCAACGGGAGTTCTTCCATTTTCAGCTCAATAGGCTGTGGGTCAATGTTTTAAACTCAATTTGAAGGAAACTAGTGTTTCAAACAGCTTTCTCCCTCAGTCCGTAGCACTGCTAAAGCTGACAGATATCAAGATGTCTAATAGAGCTGGCTGTAAACTCATCACCCAGCCTTTCACTCCATTTTCTTTTCATTTCCTGTCTAACACTTAATTCTAAATACGTTACCTTCAATGCATCAAGTTGACTTTGTACATCCATGTTTCTCTGCAAGCTGCCTAGCACATAGAATGTGTACATCCATACGTATTCCTCCTTTCCTTTCAGAGAAAAATATGTAAGTTTTTCAGGCGAGAAACACAGAAGACAATCTAATATCAAGTATGTGATATAAGACTCAGCACTTCCAGAAATTCATTAAGCCCTTACCATGTGGCTAAGCGTATTTCTCAGAAAAACACTCAGTATAAATACTTGAAACAATCACGAAATTCATTAAGTCCTAAACCTCATTGTTGTATTATTCACCCTCCAGTTAAAAACCTTGTGTTCTAATCTGAATTGGTTTAGCTTCAGCTCAGGGTTTGCATCTGAAAAGCCTGCCTTCCGATAGAAGAAACAAAAAAACCCCTTTAGTAAAAAAAGGTGGCTTCTCCTCCCTCTTCCCCTCCCCCAGGCCCATATAGGTGTTCTGATAAAATCACCTCTTAACCTTTTCTTAGACAAGCCAAATAAATTGAGCTTCTTCAGATCAGGTTTTTTAAACCCCAAAACAATTCCTTGAGCTCCTTCTAAGAGGCGAGATAGAGGTGAAACAGGACAAAGCATGGTTCCCTTAGTCCACTGAGTCACCGTGTCACACACCCAGAGAAATCATTCAAACAGTAGCTTGGCTGTGGTGTCCCAACCACAAAATAATATGTTTATTTTTTCCACCACTTTTTTTGTTGTCATTTTATTGATAAAAACTACACAAAAACTAACTGATCATAATAATTAATTAAAAAAACAAAAACCAATGTTACACATTCTCCTGTGTTTTAGAAATTGTGTCAGCCAGTGAGTTTCACCAAATACTCTTGCTTTAAAAGATTTTCCTTCTGATCCATTTCAAGCACATCACTTCCATTTTGGTTCCCGAACGTCCATTAATTTTGCTTAACAAGCACCGCTGGACTGTAAATATGAGAGTCGTTACTCCGTTGCATGTTTTCCCCTTTTTTGGAGCCCGAAAAGTAATTATAGTGTCAACAATGAAGCACAATGAAGATAGTAAAAATCAAAAGCACCCTCCATAGTGTACAGCCTGTGTCTTAAATGTACATGCACCCAAGTTTCTTTGTTTCTGCTGCATCAATTGCCAATGTCCTTTTGGTTCAACATAAGCTTTAATGCCCATGTCTGAAGTTTGAAATATTATCTCTTGACCACTAAAAAAAAAAAAACAAACCCAACAAAAAAACAAACCCCCAAAAGAAAATATATATATCTATCTTTTGTTTGTTTAAAAAGAACAAAAATATTAAACAAATCTTTGAAGAGTAATAAACACTTAAGAAGGAAACATGGCTGACCCACCCCACCCAAACCCTTGCCCTCCCCACCCCCTTTATTTTTACCTGTGGTTCTCCTTCCCTGGAACCGTGCAATGTAGAAAAATCAAATATACAAACAAAACTCTTAATCCATCCCTTTATGTAGCTAGAGTGAAATCTATTTTTTTTTTTTAATAAGAACTTGACAATCTCTCTTTAATATTTACATTGAGGAATTTGTTTGAAAGTTTAAAGCAAAGAAAATCCTGAAGTTCTCAGTGTGTACTGCAAGATAGCATTTCCACAGTCTGCGGAGTTTGCTTTATCCCCTTCCCTTTGTCTGTGTTGGAACATTTGTAACTGGAATGGTAGATTTTAGTTTCTTGCCCTGGTCTCTTCTGAGATGAAAGGTCTCTCAAAAGAACTCCCCACTCCGCCCCCTGAAGAAGTTGTCTCCGTCGTTAGTTTGGTATTCTCTCAATGTAAATGGCTGGAGCAGCCGAACGTGCGATTGTAGCTATGAAGCTGTGGTCTCGACTGAGTTCCAGGTTGGTTGTCTCAGCCTGCTCCCGGGACATGGTATCGTACCCCTTATTTACATGGAGAGGCTTATGAGCTTGGCAGTATCCGATCACTGGTTGGTCGTAACTGTAATAGGGTAAAGTCTTCATGTGGTGAGGAACCTGCACCAGAGAAACAGAGATAAAAAAAACCCATGTAAATAATGTGCTCAGTCATGCATTTTGTACAGCATCTATCACAACGCAGCCTCAAACCCACTGGGTGCTCAGCACATCCGCATTCATCGCGCAGCTCTTGCAGCAAGATAAACCTTTGAGGCTTCCAGGTTGTCTGTAGCACATGCAGATCCCTCTTGAACAGGATTGCTTACATTCACGTTAGTCAGTCCCCACTTGTGGATGGGCGTTACACCTGCTGAAAACCCATGTAATCACCAACTCGTTCTGGCCCTTTGCAGTTTGCTGAAGCCAGATTAGAGGGTGCTACTCTCCATTTTGGCGACTATGTTTGTGGGCAGACGTTCAAAGTGGTCTCGCATGCTGACTTCTGACCTCTTTTGGACAATCCGGCTGTGAAGGGTAAACTGGAAGCTGCTGGTAATACAAACCTTTTAAAAACTGGCCCTTCTTCCACTGCCTCCAAAGGGGCTGAGCATTTCTACAAAACTCAGACGAGCCTGAGCGTGTCAAAGGACTGGAAAACCTGGCTGCCAGCATGTGTAGCTTTCAGCACAGCTGGAACACGTGTTTATTTCTTCTATGACAAAGCTGCTTGCCCAAGGTCACGATCTCCTGGGTTCTTTATCTTACAACCTCACCAAGAGAAACACTATCAAAGAGGCTCAACTGTAGCTCACTGGAGCTGAGCAGACCCACACCTTGTAAAAATGGTCATGTATTGGAAAAGTCTGCAAGGTCTATCCTGAATCCCATCTCCCTTCTTCATGTAAATACTGAGAAACTGCCAGCCCCCCAACTTTTTTTTCCATAAACGTTCTATGCTTGCAAATGTTAATCCTACAACTAAATATGATTTATGGCACAACATCAGATAAAAATCTTTGCAGATAATTTTATCATCTGCAAGAGATGAGCTGATCAAGTAGAAAGAAATATGCTCTTAGGGAAAAAAAACATACTCTGCAGGAGATCCAGGCAAGAGTTTATTCTAACACTGCTAGAAAACCTGAGCTCATTATAGCTGGAGATATCCTACACATAATTCAACCTTGTAACAAATGACTTTTTATTTTCCATGCCAAACTTCACGTGAAGACTACAGAGCTAATTTATCTCAAATTTCCATTGCGTAGTGCACTTCATTCAAAAAGGTATGAAAAAAGCAAAGGCATTAAGACTAATTGTAAGTTTTGCAGGGTTAGAGTTCCTCTTGCATTTGGATCTCCTCAGCACTTAGATTCCACCCCCTGCTTCTCTGCAGAATGCTGGAGAGATTCCAAAAGTCTTCCACTAGCTGGAATTCAGCTGAAAACGTCATTTTACGTGACAGTTGAATGGCAAGAATGCAGAAGACAAGCTGCTCAGTAGAATTTGATGGGACAGCTACGTTCACTTGTGGATCAAATTCAGCCACAGTGCAAGAAACTGTAACTCCCTTTGGATACAGTAATATCTATGCCAATTCGTATCAGGGCTTGAATTTGTCCTCAGCCTTTAAGGCAGCTCTTTATGATTCTATAAAAGCCAAGGACTGTTTGTGTTCTGGAGAGTTGAGAGATTGAGGTCCTGGCTTTACAGCAATAATACACAGTACATTAACCACCTGAGTCCTGTGCGCAGCACTGTTTGCTTGTTTTCTCCCCTTCTCCAAACAGGAGTCAAAAGGATCAGGATCTCAACAACATCCCTAAACGGTGGATAAACACGCTTCCTTTTCAACTATTTCTCAGTAGTTTTGTAGAATCTCTCGCTTGTTTTCACTTAAAAGTTAGGTTTGCGTGTGTCTGAAATCATATTAATAAGGGTCACTGTGCCACGTCTGTGGAGGGAAGGTGGATATTCTTTGTCAGTGTAAAAAACAAAATAAAATTAGTGTATTGGGCAACCCATGAGATTAAGGAGTTACAGGTTAATTGTAGAAAGCATTTCTAGGATAATGAAGCCCAGCAATGGATTTGCACCTCCCTGTTCCCAGGCCTGGCCCTTGTACTACTCTTCTTCTCCCTCTTTTGGGTACTAGATCCCATTAAGGGAATTTAAAAAAACCCAAAAAACATGTTAAATGACTCTAAGGTACCTCCAGTAAAGACTGAGTGAAGAAATACCAACAGTCTCCCCCCTCCCAAGTCAGTTCCTGTGATGCCTCTAGAATCGAGGTAGCAACCATAAGAACAATTCAAAAAAGAACCCTGCTGATCAAAGTGAAAGCCTCCAGAGGAATGTCCCCACAAAACCGGGTGTCCTTTCCTTCCCTGAAACTACTTCTCTGAAACATAATGTTGCATTTGCAGAATGATACGAGGGATCAGTTTTCATTTACAGTGAAGTGACCGTACATGAAACCCAAGCCCACAAAAGCTTTTTCAGGACACAGCTTTGAATGTAGAAGCTACTGCAGATGTGGGCAATTGTACCACCACTCAGTCTGATGCAAGTAAAAAAGATGGAAAATACTGATGACACTGTCCACTTTAAACAAAGCTGATACTATTATGTTTTTTCTGATTTAGAGATCAACAAAACATATTTAAGAACATCCAAGTTGTTGAAAATTAGTTTTATAAGTATTTTTGCTCCAGGTTCTGAAGTAACTTCTTTTTTGTTTCATTATTGCTATGGAACTAATGCTTGAGATACTGAGAGATGTGACCTTGGACAAGTCATTTTATGAGCTGGAAAATGAGAAGATTACATCCCGCCCCTGCTTGCCCTTGAAGACTAGAGCTCTTTGAGGCAAGGGCTGTTTGTGCAGGGACTAAACCAACACAACTCTAACCAAAGCCAGGGCCTTTCAGCTGCTATAGCCTCCTAGAGACAAAAAAGCAGAGGACTAGAGTGACAAAAATCCAAACAGGTCCCTAAATACCTCAGTAAATAAATACAGACTCTGGGATTCTGTCATCTCTATCTCAAGGCCTTTTCCACGGAAGACACATTTTTCACTGGCTAGAAAGTGGGAGTAAGGCTGAGAATGTACCTGCCAGCAAATCAAAGGCAGAGCCAAGAACAGAGCTGGGATCCCCTAGCATGGTGTCCTTCGCTGTCTCCTCCATGCCACTCTGCTGCCACTAACCACAACCATTTGTGCTACAAAATTCTTTAAATTTCATTTTGGAAGAAGTTCAATTGTAAACGAAGATAAAGAGTTGCTCACATGGAAACACAACAGATACAAACCAAAGTTCGTTCTTTCATATAATCTGTAAAAACATCTGATTCAGTTCTTGGCTTCGTGTGCTCACTCGCGGTTATGCTTCATGACAGCACAGTCCAGTCCAGCTAGTGGAGCTCAGGGGTAGGACACAGAATGCCAAGACGTTTAACAGGAGATGATGCATGTGTCTGTTCACAGCATTTTCTGAATCATTTCCATTTTAATTTCTAAAAATGACACTGCCTAATACTTACTTGAAGGATTAAAACTTTTTGCAGTAGGCAAAACATAAATCAACAGGAGAAGGCATTCCAAAGTCACTGATGTACATGTGACGGACATTTTGGTTTTAGCCCATGTATGGCACCAAGTAGGACTGTCTGCTGCTTTAATGCCTTATTGTAAGGGAGCATACTGCCTACGAGCTTTGCAGATAGCTGATTAAGTCAATGAATGAATCTGTGCTCTCAAGAAAGCCTTGACTCCATTACACAATGAGCTTACTGCCTTATAAGCACTGAAAACGTTCAGTACCGGTTTTGGGCTAATGGGCTGGGTTAGTTAGCTAGTACTGACTTCTGAAGTCTAAATCTAATAAACATTGCATCTTAGCAGCCGCACATTCAAACAAAGGTTCTATTACAAGAAAAATTTACATGAATCCCTAGCTACAGGAGGAAGATAAAAGATTTAGCGGCAGAAATTTAAGAATGCAGATCTTCCCTTTTGCAGCCAAATCGACATTGGAGAAGTTAACAGCTCAACAGCCTTGCTGCCAAATAACAGCTCCATTCAAAACAAGCTGGACTAACTTGAGTTTACCTGAAGTTCAGTGAAATTCTGGCCTGCATTAAAAAGATACTTCTCAACACTCCCTGTCCACTTTTCCTTTGACATTCAGCAATGATGTTCAGTTAAACCCTTAGTCGTTCCAACGTGCAAATACACGTATCCACATTCCAATTCAGGGGTTTGGTCTTTTTAGTTTTTTTTTACACTTCACTGAATTTTATCAGCAGCTTTCCTTACTTATGTCAGAAATATTGGGAGGTAAATTAGATAACTTATTCTATAAATTTCTGATGATTATTACACAAGAAAGTTCTATTTAAAAATTTCAGTGATAAGAATTCAGCTTGGACTTCTGCTTCTCATAGGTGCAGCCGTTAAAACCTAGATTTTTACCAAAACATTGCTAAAAATCCTTATTCTGGAACCTGGAAAGCACATCAGTAAAGATGTAATCTTACCATATAGCCACTGAATCTAGTGAGCTTTAAAGAATATTGGATTGGGGCCTAAGTGAATATCAAGTGACCTTATTTCTAAAATACTTTTCCCTCTCTGCCGCCTCTCATAGTATGTTGTACACCCTCATACACTCTTAATTGCTTGCACTGCCTCCTAACAGGGCGCCTCAGACACCCTGCAATTTGGCCTGATATGAACTCCAAGGTATGACAACTCTCTATCAAGTAATGCCAAGAGAGTTTAACAGAATACCAAGTTCTTCATACTGACTGCAACTCCCGCTGAAGTATTTTCTTCTGTGCTCACAGCAACAGACTTATTGCAGTGAAGACTAGTTGAGGATCAGACAGAGATTAACACTCTGTCTCGCTCAGAATCACTTGCAGTTCAGCAAGATCTAATCACTAGCAGTCCCAGGTTGAAATAATTTCCTGGTAAACTGTTAAATCAAATTTTGGAAACATGGGATTTCAGAACAGATCTATTTCACGTTGGAAATATTACGAGTTTTTTCTTTATGCTCAATTTTGAAGAAAGATCTCCCACCATTTATTATCCTGCAGAGAAGGAAATTCTT